ACCCTCAATCTGTCGCACACCACTGGCAAGCTGATGCCGAAGTTTAGGGCACAGCACTAAAAGGCTTATTCGTAAACTGATGTTGGGATCACCAGGAGATTGTTATCCCCAGATCTTTGAAAAGGTCCGTAGATCAGCGGCAGAGCAGTTGCTTTGCCTGCAGAACATCCCAGGTTCAGGCCTTGGTATCGCCAGATAAGGCTGGGAATTCATTTCATTCTGAAATCCTGTACAGCTGCTGCCTGTTGATACAAACAAGTACTGAGCTAGAGGGACCAATGGCCTGACTCAATATAAGGCAGCTTCCCATATTCCCATCTCAGGGATCAGGAAGGTTCATATGTAAGAAAGTATCCTAGGTCCACACTAGGGCTGTGTATCAGATACAGCCAAATCCCAGATCCCGGACTGAATCAAGCTGAGGCAGCCCTGGATTGCCCCAGGTCAGATTGGAGCGATCTCAGGCAGTCAAAGGGGAGGAGGAGGAGGAGGGGGTGATTGGGTGGTGTGTGTGTGTAGAAGGAGATGCACACAGTCTCCTCCCCTTTCCCTACTGCATGCTTAATTAAAGCCTAATTAAACTACATGCATCATCTCAATTCAGTTTGATCCAAGTCTTCTTGTTCCCGGACTGTCCTGGGTCAGATAGGATCCACTCTCAAGTACCACAGTGGGCCCTGAATCTGATCAGAAGAGTAATGCACAACCTTATCATTTTTACATTGCTCCCTTTCTTTCTTATTTATTTATTTATTTATTTATTTGCCGCCCATCTGACTGGGTTCCCCCAGCCACTCTGGGCGGCTTCCAGCAAATTAAAACACAAGTTGTGTTGGCCTAAATTTGTACTGACACATATAAGTTACCATATGTAACTTTAATGCAAATTTGTGTCATCAGCCTGTCCCTGGAGCCATTCAAGGACCTAGCAATGCTGCTGCCATTCACAAACCTGAAGATGCTAACACTGAGGCCTACCATTCGGCAGAAGGATTGTTCCTGTTTTGCTAGTGTCCTTTTGGATGCTACAGACTCCCACTTCCATCACATAATGTGAAATGATTGCGTCAGCACGCCCAAGATGTTTGCTTCTCCTTTTAGAGGACCAGAAAGTGGAAGTAAAGACAATGAAAAACAATTTCAGGTGGGGCTGCAATGCATCATTTTTGACTTGGTTTTAAACATTTAAATGTCAGTGCTTAGTCATGGGAAGGCAAGATGGTTATCGACCTCCATGCAATTTCCAGCGCACATTTCTTTAAAAACTGTTTTTTGAACCCATGCCATTTTCTGTTGGCAAGAGCTGAAATGCAGGGGAGACAAGAGGACATCTATTTTGGATCCTTATTTTGAAAAAAGGCTCCAGATACCATAGAAATCAACTGGCACAGACAGACGGCACTGGCTTTTTCTTTTCACGGCGTTGGCAAATTACTCATATCAATGGAACACATACTTAGCGGAACGGAAGCGAGCACCAATAACGTTTCAATCAGCCTTGGCAGATGTATACAGTTCTCTCTTTGATCTCATGGGATGCCATATTTAGATGACATAGTTTTTGCCCCAGCTATCTTTCTCAAACTCCGTCTGACACAAGCAGACATCCATTTTTCGTAAGCTAAAATTAGCACCTTTTAATTTATTTTGCAGATAAACAAAGTTCTGCAGGAAAATGCCAAGTACAAAGCCAGCGGGCGGGTATGGGGTTTATCCGCTTTAGCTTAATTCCTATTCTGAATTTAAGAAACGGAAATAACATTGGGATTACATATGGAACACACGGAAATGGCTGTGAAAACGGGATGGCCGCCTAGTTTCTGACTTTGACAGGCGGAAAAGTGGTGATGGCAGAAACTGCTTTAATGCAGCAAATTATAAACTAGAATATCGGTGAAATAATTATTTTCCAGTTTGGTTCTTTGCTTTCTTTAGCTGTAATCATTATGGGTGTGGCATGAACTGCGTAGGCAATGAGACTAGCCATATGCTCTTTCGGTTACACAAACCCAGGGGTGGTTAACTAGGGACCTTGCAAATATTGCTGGACTCCAGCTCTCATCAGCCCCAGGTAGCATGGCCAGTGCCAAGGGATGATGGGAGATGGAGTCCAGCAACATCTGGTGGGCCAAAGGTTAGTCAACCTTGCACTAACTGATCCAACAGGTGTCTCTGGGGACCTTGTGCTGACCTAGTACTCTCCAGATGTTTTGGATTACAACGTCCATTATCCCCGACTATTGGTCATGCTGGCTGGGGCCAGCTGCTCTGTGGCTAATGGAAGTTGCAGTTCAGAATGTCTGGAGGACACTAACTTGCCTAAGGCTGGTCTTGTGGTACATCACTCAAAGCTGTGCAAAATCTGCCCCCAAAACATGTTGCACCACTTTCTATCGCAGCGCCAAGCTAACTTCTGTTCAATTCAGATTCCCATTCTGCAGGGGATTCTGAGTTGCACCTCTCAGATTGCAGATCATGAGCCACAACCCGATTCTGGAAAAAGCTGACATCACCCTGGAGCCATTTTTATTCTTAAGTGCAGGGTCACAGTCCTATTGCTAAGTGGCTCAATACCAAAGTACAATGCGTCCTGGTTTCACATCGTTTCCTCAGATAAGGTTTTCTGTCACCCTGTCCTAGGCAAAGATTTCAGGATGGCGGTAGTCCATCTGTTGCTTCAGCTGCAGCTGGAATCAGGAAATATTTCTATGCATTCAAATATGGTTGATCGCCAAGGTGGTGTCTGATTTGGGAACTGTTTTGAAGCTTCTTTTCATTTTGTTTTGATTGAAGGTTATGTTTTGTTATCAACTCTCATGTTCAGCTGACACAGGCAGATAGTTTAACAAGAAAGGTAAATGACTTATTCTTCAACAACCCTGGGCAACGGCTTGTGCAAACTACCAATTCCAGCTAAGATGCATTCTATGGGTTGCCACATCGGTCCACAGAAGTCTTCCCAGGTCCCAATGGCCCACCTAGTCCAGCATCCTGTTCTCTCAGTGGCCAATGAGATGTTTGCAGAAAACCTGTAAGCAGGACCTGAGCACCACAGCACTTTTCCCTCCAGCAGTTTCCAGCAACTGGCTCCCATAAGCATTGCTGCCTCCAAAGAGGGCACCTGTAAACTTTTAAATATAGTGTCTCTCTCCAAGTGTACTTGGCACTTGAGATTTGGCCTGTGGTGCTTTAGCCTCTGTAAATCGCTACCCTTTGCTCTTGCGCTCACACTGCCTGGTTCTTTGCATCCCCCACACCTAGGAGAATCAAAGTCAAGGATGAAAAATTGTAAAAATAAAAATTGCAAGCTTTTGTGAAGTGCTTGATTTGCATAATTTGTGGACGTGGCAGAATACAGTTTTTCTAGTCACAGAGTGACTTGCTTTGATTGTCTGTTTAGTGCAGAGGACACCCTCATGGGCAGTGAAGGCTGTGCCTAAAGAAGCTCAGTGTATCATTTGCTAAAAGGCTTCACATATTTCCATATCCGTCATGGCCTTTCAGAATCTTCCGACACTAAAGTCAAAATGAACTTGAGAAGGGAAACTTGCAGTCGCCCTTGAGTAAATGTTTTGGGGCAGTTGGAACTGTTGCTTTTTTCTGTTCCCCAAGGAGCTCAGATTTCACGGGAGGAGAAGCCAGACAGAGGGACCACGAGACGATTAGCCGCAGAAGCCCAACTTGGGGGTTTTCGCATTAACCTGTCATGTCAAAAGCTCGATGATAAGATGGAGAAAATCTAGGGTGGGTGGGGAAGCTCATGCTGCAAGGCAAACAAATTCCAAATACCAAGTCACTTAATTTTACTAATTATCCTAGCCTGTGGCTCCCCCTCCCTGCTATGAACTAAGGAGATGATATAGCAGCTGGCATTTTCTAAAGCCATCTTAACTAATGGCAAGTACTGATAATCCATGGATTCTTTCTCAAGAATGCACAGAAGATGAATTGATTTACTTAGGGTCACAAATGGAAATCTGTACAAAGAAAATGATCCATCACATTGGAATAAGATTGGCTCTTTACCACAACTAGGTGGCCTTTCCCAAAACCCAGTGTTAAAAATAAAATAAAATAAATAAAACCTACTTATAAAGACTAGTTAGATTTTGGGGGGGGGGCAGTGAAGTTTACCCTGAAATAAAAACAGTGTCATTCCAGAGCTCCATATGTGCTCTGATGTGCTTATAGAGCTCTTGAAGGTGCGTAAGTGTATCATTTGTTTTAATGGAAGGAAATGAAAGACACACACTAAAAGAATCTTCACATAGTTTTCCTTCCTCGCCAATGGACAGCCCTGCAAGTGAGGAGTTTGTTTTACCTCATTAAGGTAGCTTGTTTTGTCTACCAAGCTGAAGACCAATGGGACACAGATACATTTGAAAATGGGTCAGTGGAAGTCCAGCAGCAAAGGGTCACCCAAGTCTTTTTCTAATGCACAAGGGCAGAATTAAAAGGGGCATGAATCTATCAACTTTTGGTCCTCTCAATTTTGTCAATTTTCCAGGCTTAAATTCAGTTCTAAACAATTCTGAAGCATTTTGTGTTTGGAAATATTCTTCTATAAATTCATAGCATTTGGGGGCAAATTTATCCTAATAAACACATTTTCATATGATTTTTTTGACAAATATACATATTTTTGCAAGCCATTTCCCCGTACATAATGCATGGTGTTATATGTGTTTATAGGCATATTTTATCCTCCTGTATATGCCTTTTTGTACACATTGCTGGGCCAGAGAACTGCACTGAAATTTTTTGAAAAGTGTGAATTTTGAAGGGTAGCTGCATTTCGATTCGTGTATTGTTTTAGAAAGTGTGAATTTGCTACATTTGCCTTTAAATGCGAACTGAACCAAATCCACCCCCCATTCCTAGCCCAGAACATCTATGTCTCATCTAGAAAGGCCACAATCAGCAACATCTTACAGCTGTTGTGACGATGATTACAATTTCTGCCTTTTGTCCTCTCTCTTTCCCTTGTCGCACCACACCTTTCATTCTTTCGTTCATTCTTCCCTCCTTCCTTCCTTCCTCAAATGGGAAAGAGTCAAGAGCCAATTTGCCAGCGGTTTCCCTTGTTGCCAAGGTTCTGGACTGGCACTTAGGGTAGGCAATCACTGGATTATCTTCTGTGTTCGGTTTTGACAGCCAGGGTAGGAACTTGTAGCACGCAGCGAGGACAGGGACCAGCCATTGGGGATTTGAGCGAATGTTTCGTCTTGGATTCTGTTGAAGTGTATACTTAACTGTTGGAACTGTGCTGGCAATGACAGCCTTTGACACTCTGCAGAGCAGAAGACCCCAGTGTAGGAATGGCAGTGCCTACTCTGAAAGTGAGAAGGTAAAAGTTTATTTTTGTATTTCCCCCCTTCCTCCTGTGCGCTGTCTCTCTCTCTCTCTCCCCCGCACACCCCACCCCACCCTGCCTCTCTCTATAGCATGTAACAAGACCACCAAGAGTGGCCTTTCCCCCTGTACTATGTACCATTCTCATTTATGTTTTTTCCCCTTTAAAAAAAAAGTTTGCCTGAGGTCATCCACCTAGTTTCACCCTCCCCAAACAGGAAACGGGTTTCAGATGTTTATATGTTAAAAAGCAAGACAGCTAATCTGCCCATTTAACAGGCATTGGCAACTGGCAAGGATTCCCCCCACTCCTCTTTGCTACATTATTAGCTTTCAGTTCAAGTTACATGTTCTTTCAATAAGAGTCCAAGATCCAAAATATTGGATAACCCACCATTTCCTTTTGGAACTGATTGGAGGGAGCCAAGATCAGCTTGAAACTGAAGTATTAAACTCAGAATTCAGATTTTCTGTTTTTGTTTTTTGTTTTGTTTCTTTAAACGCAGGGGAAAAAATAAACCCCACTCACGAAACTATTCAGATAATATGGCTTATCTTAAGCAAACTTGCATGTTTTGTTGGTGTACGTGTATCGTGTTTGAGCCCAAGTAATTATAGTGGCCATGATCCGTCTAAAGCAATTGTCAGTTAAAATGAGAGTCTCTTGAACACAGGGTGTAAGTCCCACTGAACTCACTGGACTTTGGAGTAGGGTTGTGTTGTGTCACTTTCATTAGGGAAGTATAACCCTACTCAGAAGTAAGTCACCACTTATTTCAATGATGTTTCCTCCCCGGTAAGTGTCGCCTGAAAGACATTCCTGTTTTCTGCAGCCGTTGCCTCTTTGTGTCTTAGATATAAAAAGGGGGGAAACGTTTATAAGAAAGGTACAATAGCTGAAGGAGATATCTTGAACTAGACTGTGCATGCAGGAAATGTAGGGATAGACAAATATCTCAATGTTGCTTATATGTTTTTCATTTTTACACTCTTAAATTCAGTTCTCCACATTTCCACACCAGTTTTCAAATTCTTTTCTTTTTTAAGTCCTCATGAAAATTCACCAGCATTTTAGCGCAGATTTCTCCTAATAGACGCATTTTTCTACCTAATGCACACAATTTCGCAAAGCATTTTTGCCTAATATAAGACATTTTTGTATGATCATTTCACAAATATATGACTTTAAATGCACACTTTGACCCAATAGGTGCATTTTTGTATGTCTTACTTGGGTGGAGAACTGCATTGCAAAATTCAGAGATGTGAGACTGTTGAAGGATAGCTGTGTTTCAGCTTGTGCATTGGTTCAGAAAGTGCAAAATAGGTTGCTTATCCTTTAAATGTGAATTGAATCGAAGTTCTTTCCTAAGGAAATCACAATCTTCCCTCCAAGTTTTTATAGATTAAGTGCAGCACATACTCACTGTAAATTGATAAGATAATTAGCAGTCAATAAATGTGTCCATGTGCACACACACAGTCTGCCTTGACATTGCCTTTGATGTGTAGCGATGTCAATTGTTTTAGTTTTAGGCAGAGATCATGTGAGCTTTTATCCAACATGGTCATGGAGCTGCTCAAGGAAAACTGCATATGAAACAAATCCAAAGAAGGGACTTACAAATTTGCAAGTCTAGCTAAGAATAGATATACCCATCTAACCTGATGTTTGGTAAGGTGTTTGATTTAAAACTTGGCACCCTAAAACTTGACAGCCAATTTTAACACGTTTCCCCCTTAATATATAAGCTTGTTGAATTTATTTATTTATTTACTTACTTACAGTGTCTGCCTCTCTAATAAAAAGAAAATTCCAGATTTATCCCAGACAAATTAGGCAAAATGAATAATCCCCACTCTGGCAAAATATTTGTTTGCCGATCTATTGCTATTATTTGTCGAGTGTGATACTGAAAATGCTGGACCACAAAGTATGACCGATTGTTTAGATGTTAAACCAGGCTGTAAAAAGCAATTTAAGTGTTCTTGATAGGATGATTAAATATGATGGCATAAAAGTATTCAAACAGTACAAGAGGCGAAGCAACTTTAGCATTCTGGGACATGCAGATAAAGCAACGTACTTGTTAACCCTAAACACATTTTTGCAGGACCAAACTGCCTGTGATTTTACACACGTGTAAAATCGAGGCATTTTATTTTTGGAGAAAAAATAGCTGCGAGGTCTCCCCAGTATGGAATGTGTTCTGGCTCTGGACTGGAGGACTGTGCTAGTTTTCTTCAGAAAATTCCTCTCTTTCCTGGCTGCCTCCCTGCAAGTACAAAAATAGGCCAAGTAGAGGGAAATTCTCTTCAGAAAACTAAGGTAAGACCCCACTCTTGACCAGGAGCTCATTCTGGATCAGGTTGAGCATGCCTGTTAAATACATAGATGTGTCCCATATAGATTCCAATATAATATTTACCATCTAATTTTATTTCAGTTAGGTGAGTTTGGAAGGTCATAAGGGCCCTTCTGGGTTAGACGAAAATTCCTGCATCCAGGGGCAGATACCCAGGCATCAGTGGGAAGTTCAAAAGGCAGTACAACCTCCAGTTTGCCCCTGGCATCAGTTATTCAGAAGCATTCTACCTTTGGGGGGCTATTATTGGGGTGGGTCTAGGAGACATGAGCCCTTCATCTTTTTCTGAGTGCCCCAGACTTTCCTGAATTCAGAAGAAACTTAACCCAGATGTTGATTTGGATTACTGGGAAGGAGATTGAAAATGACTTTCTGTAGAGATTATTTGGAGGGTAACTGCAGGGGAATTGATTTGGAGCAGAATCTACTGAGGACTAAATGAATTAAAATGTATTTTAATACTTTGTTGGAAGCCGCCCAGAGTGGCTGGGGAAACCCAGCCAGATGGGCGGCGTATAAATAATAAATTACTATTATTACTATTACTATTATTATATAAATGGGATGTATTTGGAATAATCCTGGGTGAAGCATGAATCAACTGAAGAGTTGATCTGAAGAGTGATTTGAATGGGACATTAGTTAACAACAATAACAATTTATTACCTGACCTTCAGCCTAAGGGGCCAGGGTGGGTTACAACAATTAAAACACAATGTTTTAAAAAAGATTTGCTTTCTATGACACTTAGGATTGTGTCCAATTATGTTTTACTCAGAGTAAACCCACTGAACTGAATGGACTTTAGTTATGTTTATTCATGGAGTTGGACTAGATGGTCCCTCAAGGTCCCTTCCAACTCTGTGATTCTATTCATTTCAATGGGTGTACTCTGAGTAGGACTAACATTGGGTACAAACCTTAAATTCTAAAATGGGGTGCACCCATCCACTTGTAAATGTTAAGGACATTTGTGTTTATGGGCCTATGCCATGAACCTTTTAAGTACAGTGGTACCTCGGGTTACATACACTTCAGGTTACATAGGCTTCAGGTTTCAGACTCCGCTAACCCAGAAATAGTGCTTCAGGTTAAGAACTTTGCTTCAGGATGAGAACAGAAATCGTGCTCCAGCGGCGCAGCAGCAGCAGGAGGCCCCATTAACTAAAGTGGTGCTTCAGGTTAAGAACAGTTTCAGGTTAAGAACCGACCTCCAGAATGAATTAAGTACTTATCCCAAGGTACCACTGTACCTTGCTACACCTCTGGCTACCTTTGAACACATTTGCTGTTATGCCAAATAGGCTTGTTCTCTGAGATTGTGTCTAATTTTTTTCTGCTGAAGGCCATCTAAGCTAGTGGCAGAGCATGACAGAAGTGATCAGAGGGTATTTTTCACATACAGCTTGTGTTCTTTATGCAGGCTAGTAGGGCTGGACAAATGGTCAATTTCAGATACAGAATCTTACGCTCATAGAACTGGAAGGGATTCTGAGGGTCATCTAGTTAACTCCTGTTCTCAACATGTGGGACCCCATCCAATTTGAAACCATACCAGACCCTACTTAGCTTTGCAAATTTGCTAGCAGTTTTATTGCTGCGTCATTAGTTTCCTCTTGGTTTCTTATAATTATCTTGATAACAACCAGCCCTGCCAGTCCCCATCACTTTTCTGATGGTATTTGCATTTTTTTAAAATAAAAAAGATTGCATATTAAATGCAAATAAGCTTTAATGTTAGACCTTCAGCTGCAAAGTCATTCATCTATCTGGGCAGGAGGGAGAAAAATATTACAAACATATACTCTCCAGAATTTGCAGATAAAAATCAGAATGTGCTTGTAACACAGCATTTATGCTATTCTCATTCCAAGGGTTAGGGCTAGAGCTTTGCTCATTATATATTATACATCACTGATGACACTCTTCCATCTGCTGTAGTCTTCTCTCCTGCAATAGCTTCTACAGCACTTAAAAGAAAGGCCTTTATTCTAAAGTATGCCAGAAAAACACGAATGGTCTTACAATCTGCTATGAATGGTTCACAAGGAGCTTCAAAACTATGTGAAATGGCAGGCAGTTTTCTACATGACTGTTTAAGGTTCCTGTGTGCATTTTGACATCTTTGTGTCTTACAGGCGAGAGGCATCCACCATTACCTTAAATTCAGATTTTAACTTATTTATTAACAAGAGTATTTATAAACCACCAACTCGTAAATAAGTAAATAAGATCACTGAAACACCATCAAATTATACAATCCTAAAATACAGAATGAAAAACCAACAGTGAATCAAATCAATGATTGGAAAATGCTTGCCAAAACAAACATTTTCAGCAAGTGATGAAATATCAGAGGTGTAGGTGCCTGTCTGATTTCAATTGGAACAGTGTCTTGAAATAGTGGTGCCCCTATGCTAAAAGCCTTAGTTCTTGTAGAAACTAAATGAAAATGAGATAACTGTGGAAACGTCAGGAGGGCTTCTCCATATAATCACAGTGATTTGGCTGATGGACAAGAAACAAGGCAGGCTTTCAGGTAACCTGGTTCTAGACCATTTAGGGCTTTATACACAAGGAGTAATACCTTCAGTTTAACTTGGTAGTGTAGTGGCAGCCAGTGCATAGC